CTGGGGGTTGCCTGCGCACAGGAGTGTTTTCATCCCTACACTGACTGTAGGGTCCTATATATATATATATATATATATATATATATAGTTGTTGTTGTTATTTTTTCTTGCACCACAATCTGCAGTGCTCAGGTTTTTTTTCCTGGTTGGTACTTGGAGGTCACTCCTGGCAGTGTTTGGGGGACCACGCTGTGTAAGGATCAAATTGGGCCTCCCCCACGCAAAGCAAGCCTCAGCCCTCTCTTCAGCCTAGAAAAGGAACCCAATGTGGGAGAGTGTCTTATTTCACATTCCTTCATTATCTTTTTTTCTCAGGACAGCTCAAAGTTGCCACATTGTCAGCCTTGGCAGGAGGTGGAGGAACTAAGGCAATAAAGCCCCACTCACATGATCCATTGTTTTGCACATTGTTTTCTTTTTACTTCTATAATTTTTGGGGTTTGGCATTTGGGCCACACCCTGCTATGCTCAGGGTTCGCTCATGGTGGGGCTGGGGGGACCGTATGGGATGCTGGGGATTGAATCCCGGTGGGCTGTGCGCAAGGCAAGCGCCCTGCCTGCTGTACTATCTCTCCAGCCCCTTCTGTAATGTATTGTAACGATATTCCTGTTCTGTTTGCCTGACTCTTCCGCTCTGAGTTCTGTATCCGTGGTTTCATTCTGTGTAAAGTGACCCTGCTTCAAGAGGGGTAAATCACGACCTCTGGTGACTCCTTTTTCCTGGCTGGCAGTCGCTGCCTCGGAGCCTTTCCTGGAGGAGCTGGTGCCTCTCCACCAGGCTGCTCAAAACACTCCCAGCCTCTGCAGAGCTAACGGGCGCTTTAAAAATGCCAAAGCTGGGACTGTCCAAAAGTTAAACAAAAGGAAATTGTACTATTTATAAGTCTTATTTTAGTCTTTGAAACTTGGCAGATCCTTTCTTGAGCTCTTTTCTTCTCTTCCCTATTTTTTCATGTTCTTTCACTTGTTTTAGGGTCATACCTGGCGGTGCTCAGGGCTTACTCCTGACTGTGTTCAGAGATCACTCCTGGTAGTGCTTGGGAGACTTTATGTGGTGCCTGTGATTTAACCCGGGCCAGCCACGTGCTAGCAAGTGCCCTAACTCTGGCCATATTCATCCTCTGGCCCTATCTTCCCGCTCCCATCCACCCCCCCCCCGCCCTTTTTTGTTATTTATTGAGGTGATATGGTATATAACAGTGCACATCGTCTCATCTACCCCTTTCCTCTCCCCAATCCTTTTTTTTTTCTTTTTGGTCACTCCTGGCAATGCACAGGGGTTACTCCTGTCTCTGCACTCAGGAATCACTCCTGGCGGTGCTCGGGGCACCTTATGGGATGCTGGGAATCGAACCCGGGTCAGCCACGTGCAAGGCAAATGCCCTACCTGCTGTGCTATTGCTCCCCAAATCTTTTTTAATCATTTTTCTTTCGGAGGGGTTACGCCCTGCCATGCTCAGGGGTCACCTGTCCCTGCACTCAGGGATTACTCCTGGAGGTTCCGGGGGACCATATAGGGAGCAGGGATCCAACCCAGGTGGGCCACATGCAAGGCAGACGCCCTACCCACTGTACTATATGTCTCGGGCCCTCCAATCAATCCTTTGACATCTGGGTGGTGTAGGAGCCCTTCCCAACAGTGCGATGGGGGTGGGGCTGGGGCATTAGGTATGGGTGCAGGGCATCGAACCCGGGGCTCCGGGCATGCCAGGCACAGACACTAGCTCTTGGATCTCTTCCCCAGCCTGCCCTGCAACTCCCTCTTTTGTTAGGTCCTGCCACGCAGGGGACCCGGCCTCGCGGGCGGCCGCGGCCGGGTCATCCCTGGTGAAGTGCTGCCCCCTGGCGGCGGTCTGCCGCCCCGCACCGGCGGCCTGGCGGGGGAGACAACTTTCTCCCGTTTGGGAACGCGAGGCTGATGCAACAGCTGCCCCAGGGGGCGGGGAGCCAGGGCCGGGTGCCGGACACGCCCTTCCGGGCGCCCCCTCCCAGGGCGCGGGGCCGCTCGGGCGGAGGCGGTGGTCCACAGCCGTCGGGCGGCCCTTTGGAGCGGGATCGGGAGGGAGGGAAGAGGAAGCGGCGCGTTCCCGGGTGGGGAGGGCGCGCCTGCGGGTGCCCACGGTCATTCCCACTGCCCGGGGCCCGCGTCGCTGTCCAGGGGAGAACCCCCCTCCCCCAATCTGTCTTCTAGCACTCTCGGGAGCCTCCAGGGCCAGGGGCTGCCTGGCCGGGTGGAGAGAAACGAAGAGACGGGGCGGAGCGGGGTCCTGGTCCCCCTCCCCCCCCCCCCCCCCCGCTTTCCCCTAAAGGCTGAGCTAGTCGGTCCCCCGCATCCAGGAGCGCGTCTCGGAAGAGGGAGCGCTCCGAGGACCGCCGCCCCCCACCCCGGGGTCGCGGTGCAAATACTGCCAGCACACACACTTTTAGAGATTCCGCCCCCCCTCCCCGCACCGCACCGCCAGAGTGAAAAGTCCGAGAGGCGTCGAGGATGGGGTCTGGAAAGGCGAGACCCCAGGGGCGCAGCGCCACCGGACCGAAAAGGACCGATCAGGGAGCGCGCGGCGCGCAGGGGGCCGGGTCGCGAGGGCCTGCGCTGGGCTGAGGGCGCCGGGACCTGCAGCGCGCGCTAGGGGCGGAGGGCGCAGGGAGGGACTAGGGTCGCGGCACGGGTGGGCTCTGCCTTCCGGCCCTGGGCCCCTCCTGGTCCGCGCGCGGCCCCCTCTGCCTGGACTCTGCGCTTTCAGCTTTCACCTCCTCGCGGGGGTCGCTCCCGGCTGTCCTTTCTCCGGAGCCCAGGGCTGGGACTGAAGCCCCGCACAGCGTCAGGGGAGCTTCTTATTCTCTTCTCGTTCCTGCGGGGAAGAGCCCCTTTCTTTTTCTCTTGTTCTTTAGGCGACTCCCGGGACCAAACTCGGGAAAAAAGTCCCAGGCAAACCATTCCAGGCCTCCTAGTTAACTGAAAAGCGGACCCCTCCCTGTCCAACCTTCTGTCCTGTAAAGAATAAATACCTCCAGATTCGTCTTGCTTGGTTAGCAGCCTAGATGGGCTTCAAGGGCAAATTGAAGGACATTCCTAGAGCCCAGTCAGGGATTCATGGTAGGGGAATCAACATTGTTCATTTTTTCACTCATTGGTGTAGCAAACGTGTGTGTGTGTAGGTGGCAGCTGTACCTGATTTATGGGAGCTACTCCTGGCTTGGTGTTTGGTGCTCAGGAGACTATATGGTGTCAGGAATGGAGCCCTGGTTCTCCAGCTTGCACACTAGTCCTGTAGGTTCCACCAAACCCTTCCCCGGCAGCTTTTCAGTGTGGCCCTGGGGAGTGGGGATGGCTCTAATGAATTGGCAGAACTTGTGTTCTCTTGGGGAGCATTTCAGTGTGAGTGCCCTGGGGGGAAAGTCAAGATCTGAGAGGGGGTGGTGGTGGGCACAGGAGCTCTTTCAGAGACCCCTGAGGCAGGCTTCCAGGATACCGTGGAGTTTGAGCACAGACCTGAGTGTTCAAGGCAGAGGCAGCAACTGCTGCAAACTGCTCTGTCCCAGCACGCTGACACAGGGCAGCAGCCCGGAAGTCAGTGTGGCATGAGGAGGTGGCGTGGGCAGTGGCAGCAGGGCCAGTTTCAGGGCTGCCTTCCGACTTTTACAGATGGAATCCCCCTGGGTTAAGGGTCAGGTCAGCGAGCAGTAACCCCCTCTGCAAGGCCATGGAATCGTCCTTGGACTAACCCAGTGTTGGGTACCAACCAGTAAGCTCTGATTTATTTGTTTGTTTTGTTTTTGATCCACACCCAGTGGTGCTCAAGGCTTATTCCTGGCTCTGCCCTCAGGGGTCACTCCTGGCAGGGCCCAAAGGACCATATGGGACACTGGAAATTGGGGAATTGACCCAGAGTGGCCACTTGCAAGACAAGGTTCCCTACAGTACTGTCTGCAGCCCCTGAGCTCTGATTTTTTGTTGTTGTTTTAGGGCCACACATGATGGTGCTCAGGGTGTACTCCTGGCTCTGCACTCAGGGATCACTCCTGGCAGGGCTGGGGGACCTTATGGGATGCCAGGGATTGAACCCAGGTCGGCTGCATGCAAAGCAAGCTCTTTACCCACTGTCCTATCTCTCCAGTTCTCGTCCTGTCACGTTTATGTCTCTTGGTGGAAATAAATTGGCTTCCGTCCTCTGACACAGAGGACTCCTTGCCTGGCCTTTCTCAAGCCTGTCTCTAGAATCATTCTGCAACACGCAGGTATATTTGTTACGTGCAGAGGCCAGCAGATAACTGCCTAAGAGCAATAGTCATGGCTGGAATTCTGAAAATGCACCTTGTACAGAGAAATGACACTGCCTACACAACAGATCTATGTGGTGCCTAAATTTTGGAGAGTTTCAACAGCCAGCCAAGATATCTGCTTCAGAAAACTGCCTGCATATGAATTCACGTAATGAGCTCTAATTCTGAAGAGAAAGGACCAGACGTACGTTTCTCAGTGGGAGTACATCGGCATTCCCCTATGGCTCTGCTAAGAAAACATGCAACAGATATTTGAGCAGTCCTGGTTTGAGGGGGACCCGACTCTTAAGCCTGCTCAGGGCACCGCGGGGGGGTGGTGTGGGGGAGTGGGGAACCTGACTTTGGCCCCGCGGATCCGCTCTGGTCCACACGCACAGCATGGGAGCCGTTGGGGACCTGAACTCTGAGTGTGCTGCCTGAGTGTCTGAGCATGTGCTTTCTTGCTGGGTGCCTTGCTACATCGGGGCTGGGTCGGCACTGAGACTTGAGATGGGACCATCGAGTTCCCTGACTGCCACCGTGGAGCCTGTCCCTTCTGCAGGACCTAAGCTGGTGTGTGAGTGCCAGGGGTGGGGAGGCCAAGAGCGGGCGGGGAGCGCTAGCTGCGTGAAGGGCACCCGGAGGGCGCGGAGAGAGGCTTGGGAGCGGTCAGTGCTCAGAAACGGTCGGTCGGGGCAACAAGGAAGTGGGGCCGGGCGCGGAGGAGGAGCTGAGAGTCCAGGGAAAGGTGCCTGCAGGCGGTCAGGCGTGGAGGTTCTCCGGGTTTGATCCGCGTCCCAGCTCCGGCCCGTCCCCTGGCCCCTCCCCGCGACCGGCTGGAGTCACACATGTGTTTTCCTGTTTTCCATTTCGGTCCCGTCACCCTCTGCCTCTTCTGCTCCTCAGAGTCAACAGCTGCTGCGGCTTGAGCCCTCTGCCCCCCGCTGGTGCCCCTTCCCCGCACCTCTCCCACCCCACAGCGTGCCACGGCCCCCTCCTTCCCACACCCGCCCCTGCCAGGCCGCGGGACAGGTAAGCGGTGGCCAAGGCGGGACAGTGGGTGAGAGGGAACATGCCGAAGAGGATGGAGCAGAGAGCCCTGGAAACGGGCTGGCCGAGACCCCCCCAACCCCCCAGCGGTGTCTTGAGTCTTGAGTCCCTGCCGTGGCGCCACTGCTTTCAGCCCTCGGGTCCCTGAAGCTCTGGCCACAGGAGGAAACAATTTCTTTCTTGTTTCACTTTATTTCTTTTTTAAGGCACTGTGGACGGAGGCGCTGAGCCTCCAGCTGGGGGGTGATGGGGGAGTCTCCCTGCCCCCCCCCCGGGTTTTATTTGTTTCCTGCTGTCTGTTGTTAGGGGAGGCAGCCAGACCTGCTGGGAGGGCATGGCAGGGGGAGCCAGTGTCTCCTCCCTGAGTTGGCCGAGGGAGCCAGACCCCTGAGCACTGTGTGGAGGTGCTGCCCCTCCTGGGTGGGGCCAGGGCAAGGCCCCCCTCCCCCCGCGCCCCCCTCGTTCTGTGAGGCAGTGCATGCTATGTGAGTGGGTGGGTGGGTGGGGGATCTACTGTCTGGGTTCCCTGATTCCTGGAATTAGAAACGTGGCCCACTGGGCGTGGGCTGGGCGTGTTGTCCTGTAATCTCCACCAGGTGCTCCGAGATCAAGGCATCATCAGACGGGGGATGGAGAGAAGGGGTGCTGTGTGCCAGGGCTGCGCCACTCCGGTGGGGGTGCAGACTCTGGGCATTTCTTTAAGGAAAAAGCCAGTGGGCAGGTTCCCCTGGCTACAGGCCACCTGAATGGCAGGGTTATGGCTCGTGGCCTGATGGCGGGTGTCGGGAGGAACCCGTGCTGCCAGAGAGGGGCTCCGCGCCAGCAGTGGCTGGGAAAAGAGGGGGCGTCCTCTCTGCGAGGAGGACAGCCTTTCCAGCCCAGTTCGCGGGGGTTGAGCCCGGTAGGTGGGGAGGTGAGCCCACTCACAGCACTTCCTGCGGAGACCACTAGGCTGCGCTGTTGGCCGGTGCGCGGCGCCCCTCGGTGGGTCGCTGCCCACGAGTCCATAAAGTCATTCATTTTTCAGACGCCTTCCTGGAGGAGCCAGAAATCCTGCCCCACCCCCCACCCCGCGCTCCCCACTTTCTCTCAGAGCTTTCCCGTACTTTGGCCCTCCTCCACCCCCTCAAAAAACATGTCCCTTTAGGAGGCATGCCCATCCTTGCATGCCAGTGAATTTGGTCTTAAAAGGGCAGGCGTGATGTATTTCTGTGTTTTTGTTTGCTCTCAGGCACCCAGTAGCGGCCAAGAGGAACTGTAATGGCTTGTCATCCTTGCAAAGGGATGAGAAAAGGAGGGGACGGGGGGGGGGGGGGGGAGAACACGAGGGGGGAGGACTTAAAGGAGCTTGTTTGGAACCTTTAACCCAGGCTCCAGGCTGAAGGAACATTATTTTTAACTGAGTAACAACATCCCCTAGGTAATTCATGAAGGAAGGAGCCTTCTGAGGTGTTTTTCTGTCTTAAGAGAAAGGCCTAGAGGCTGAGCAGGTTCTGCAGGGAGGAGGAGAGACTGGGGAGATAGGACTGTGTGTGTGTGTGCGTGTGTGTGTATGTGTGTGTGTGTGTGTTTGAGGATGGTGTGGGAATAGGGGCATTAGGAGCCTGGGCTCTTGAGAGTAGCTCATCAGCTTTACTTGCTAGTTTGGTACCCCACCAAATGACTCGGTGCTTGCCCTAAGGGCTGCAGGGGGAAAGACTTAGTAGTCTGTCTGGTGGAGTAAGGACTCACTGAACACTAGGTGAGTAAGGACTCACTGAACACAGGCAGGAAAGGACAGACTTCTCTGAATGGATTTTAGACATTTGTGAAGGGAGAGAGAAGTGTGATTGCTTGGAAGGCTAATAGCAGGATTCCCCTTTTGGTTAAAAAAAAATGCGGGATTCCCCTTTTGGTTAAAAAAAAATTCCATATATGTACACCTGATCCAGAGAGCATCTAATGACACATGAGTGGATAGAGAAACCGTGGCACAGACATCAGTGGGATATTTCTTGGCTGTAAGGAAAGATGAGCTCTTACCTGTTGGTAGGAATGGATGGAACTGGAGGGCGGCTGTCATGTTAAGCAAGCCAGAGGGAGCAGGACACATATTGGAAGATATCACCCATCTATTGGGTATAAAGAAACAAAGAAAGGGTCCAGAGATGGGCCAAGCACAAGCATGCAGAAGGCCTGGTACCCTATCCAGGAGCGACCCCTGAGGGGCTGGGGTAGTTTTCGAGCATTGCAGGCGTGGCCCCCAAATTAAAAAAAAAAAAGGAACAAAGAAAGGGAAGAGATAATGGTAAACAAAACAAACACCCTTAGGCCAGAGAGATAACTCAGAGGGCTGAGCCCAGATGGGGGCTGTGGTCCTGGGTTCCATCCTGGTACACAGCCACCAGCAGTCAGCCGCCAGCACAAACACTGGAAACAGACCTTAGACTAGACACAGAACAGAGGATGGGGATGGGGAACAGGGGGTAGTGGATAGGAAAGGGGACTGTCCCTGACAGGTGAAGGGATATTGTTGCTTTGGTAGTGGGGGATGGTGTGGTAACATTGTACCCCTAAATCACAAACATTGATACTTTAAAAAAAAAAACCAATCTAATCTCCTTTTCTCCTTTTGGGTCTTGAGTCATACCTGGTGGGACTCAGGGACTGCTCCTGGCTCTGTGATGGGAGTGACTTTGGAGGTGCTCTGGGGGGTCATACCTGAGCCTCCTGCATGGAAAGCCTGAGATCAGCCTGTTGCACTTTCTCTGGGGTATTGTCTCAATTCAAGAAATGTTCAGGGGTGACAGTCGGGGAGTGATAATGCCCTCCAGGGACTTTCATCCTTTCCTTTTCTGGTCGTAGAACAACCAAAGAGGGTTAGAAAGGGTGCAAGAGAGGACAGACTGTGGGGTTTCAGACTGGACAGTATGCTAAAGGAACTTTGAGTACCAGCCCGAGTGCCATCTACAAAGACAGCAAAAATGACGTGTTTCCGCCCCATGCGCAGCTTCCTCTATTCTGGGCCTATCCATGAAAGCTTGTAAATTTTCCCCCATATACGTTTAGGAAATCGCCATAAACTTTCATTTGGGCAAAGTTTATTTGGTATTTAGGTTTATCCCTCAAGATTCCCGATTTGTTCTCTTCAGGGTGGAAGGAAGCGGGAGCCGGTGGGGCAGCGGTCCAGGCCTTTCCTCTTTTCCTCTGAGGTAGCTGGCGCCTTGGTCTTGGGGTACTGCCCACCCTCCCCACCCCCTGAGGGAGCCGCCAGGGCTCCTGCTGTGTGGGGAAGTGCGCAGAGATCGCTAATCACGAGGGCAGGGGCTGCTTTTACACTTCCTCTAATCTCAGCCAGTGAATAAGCCTTTGTGTGGCCTTTCTCGCCAACCTTCCTGCCTTTCTGGGGGTGAGAGAGAAGTGGGGCTCGGGTGGGGCCCGAGCACCCAGAGGGCGAGCTGTGCACGTGCATTCGTGCATTCCTTCTCAGCCGCTGCCCCGGCCCCCGCCAAGGTAGGTGCCCAGGCCTGGCATGCCTCGCTGACGTGGGTCCTTTCTCCTGGGTCCCCAGAGCTGACAAAGGAGATTCCTGAGTGTGAGGCTCCTTATCACGCTAAGTGCTGAGCCTGCAGCTCCTGGCTGCCCCTTTTGCAGATGTGAAGGGCCAGTGAACCTTGGACCCAGACAGTTGCTTAATACTCCTTTCCCCACCCCCTCCGCCCTTCTTCTGATTCGACTTAAATCCCCAAGCCAGCGCCTGCCTTTCCTTTTACTGCTGGTGGAGTCAGAGGAGCGAGGACCGCCCACCCTCAGATCCTGGGCGCTCATCCCTGCCACTGGTTGCTGCCTCGGGAACCCGCTTCTCCCCAGGCCCAGAGAGTGAGTGTTTCCCTGCTCTGCTCAGCCCTGCTCCCCTGGGCTCTGTGTCCTGTCCCTCTGTCTCCGCTCTGTGTCCTGTGCCTCCCCGAGACCCTCGTTTCTCTGCACCTGCTTGGCCAGCCCTGCCCGGGTCTCTCCCTCTCTGCTGCTCCTTGCGCCTTGCTGCAGCACAGCCCTTGCCCTGTCCTGGTGTGGGGTGCTCCCGGTCTGGCAGCCACTCCTGGGTGGGGAGAAATCTTTAGATGCCTGCGAATCCAGATGGATCTCTGGGGGATCAACTTCAGGTCGGGGCCACACACTGGATGCCTACTTTTCATTCATCCAGTTGATTTTTAATTGATTGATTTGTGGTGCCCATGATAGAGTTGAGGTCTCTTGCATGCAAGGCATATGCTTTATCGCTGAACTATTTCCCTGGCCCTCACTCATCTTTTTTTTTGGGGGGGGTGGTGAGGGGCATGCCACTATGCTGACAGTGGGAGATTGGAATACTCTGGGCTGGGCAAAGCAAAGTGGCAAGGTGGGTGGATGATTTGTTTTCTTTAAAGACAGATTTTTTTTTTTTTTGCCTTTTGGGTCACACCCAGCAATGCTCAGGGGTTACTCCTGGCTCTGCACTCAGGAATTACTCCTGGCGGTGCTTGGGGGACCATATGGGATGCCGGGGATCGAATCAGGGTCGGCTGCATGCAAGGCAAATGCCCTACCCGCTGTGCTTTCGCTCCGGCCCCAAGACAGATTTTTTTTTGCTAGGATTTTTTGGCAGGACTGAAGCCCTCTGCTAAGAAGGGTTTGCCCCTTCTCCGTCGTCTTTTTGGGTTGCATCTGGTGGTGCTCAGGGCTGGCCTCTGTGCTCAGGGCTGGGCTCTGTGCTCAGGGGTCACTCCCCGTGGCACTTTGGGGATGATGCAGTGCTGAGGATCAAACCCAGGCTTCCCACATCTAAAGCATGACTCAGCCCACTGAAAGGATGTTGAGCCTTGAGATTTCGGATTTTGAGCAAGAGATTTGTGGTTGGGGCATGGCTCAAAGGGCGGGAGTGTAGGCTTTGCGTGCAGGGGGCCTGGGCTGTAGCCCTGGTATCACATGGTTTCTTTAGCACTGCCAGGTGTGACCCTGCAAAGCAAAATGTAACAAAAGAGGTGACAGGCTTTAGGTTTGTCAGAGCTAGAGTCTTTGGGGGAGGAGGGGTGGGGAAGGAGCAGTATTGGGAGAAGGACCCACGGTTGAGCTTCTCAGAAGCATGGTTCCCAAGGTTACATCTCAGCACAGGGGACAAGGAGAGAGAAACTAGAGAGAAAATTGGCTTTGGTGAGGGTTGGTAAGGCACATACACATCCCGCTGGTCATCCTGAAGGCAGGCCGACTGTCTTTCTTCTGTCTATCACAGCAGAGTGGCAGGGTTAGAGGTTTGTTTTTGTTTTGGGGTCATATCCATCAGTGCTCAGGTCTTACTTCTGGCTGTGTTTTCAGGGATCACTCCTGTTGGACTGGAAGGGCATATGGGGTGCCAGGGATTGAACCTGGTTTGGCCGCATGAAAAGCAATCACTCTACCTGTGTAAGATTGCTTCAGCCCTCAGAACTTCGTTCATATCTGACAAACCAGGTGGCTAGCACCTAGGGATGAGAAACAGTTTTTCTTTTTTCTTTTCTTTTTCTTTAAATGGGGGAGGGGGTGAATGCTTTCCCTTGGAAATTCAAGTTGGGGGCTGGCAATGTGGCTCAAGCAGGAAGTGAGAGAACATGTATTTTTTTGTGTGTTTGACACTCCCTCCCACCCCCCAGTTCTGCGTGCCCCATCTCATTTCTAGTAGTGGCCCTAGTGGCATCTGAGCACCTTTGGGTGCCCCCACAACTCTTCTCAAAAAGCTAGGTAAAGATTCAGTTTCTTGGGCCAGAGCGATAGTACAGCGGGTAGGGTACAGCGGGTAGGGTAGGTTTGCCTTACCTCTGCTAACCCAGGTTCAATCCATGGCCTCCTGTATGGTTCCCTGAACATTACCAGAAGTGATCCCTGACCACTGAGCCAGGAGTAAGCTCTGAGCATGGCCAGGTATGACCCTCAAACTAAAACAAACAAACAGCAACATCATCAGCAACAAAAGATCCAATTGTTTTTTTTTTTTTGAAAGGGAATTGAACCTAGGCCTCATGCATGTAAGACATGAGCTGTACCACTGAACCCATTCCCAGCCTGGGGGCGGGGGCTGTATCGGAGCCAACTGAAGAAGGAGTTAGTGAGAGGAGGGGGCAGGAGAGAGGCCTCTGGGGGGGGTGGCACAGGGGGGTCATACGGGGTCACCTAGACTTCAGAGTATCCCCTTTCTCTTCCCTAGAGGGCCATGCCAGGGAGCTGGTGACGGCTGCGCTCTTCCTTCGCCATGGCTGACGGCACTAAGTATGCGAAGGCCCCCCAGCGGGAGGGGGAGCCCAACTCTTCGGCGCCCGGGGACCCCAACTCCGGCACAGAGCAGGTGGCGCTGAAGAAGGAGATCTCGCTGCTGAATGGCGTGTGCCTGATCGTGGGGAACATGATCGGCTCCGGCATCTTCGTGTCCCCCAAGGGTGTCCTCATGTACAGTGCCTCCTTCGGCCTCTCCTTGGTCATTTGGGCCGTGGGGGGCATCTTCTCTGTCTTCGGGGCTCTTTGTTATGCAGAACTGGGCACCACCATTAAGAAATCTGGGGCCAGCTATGCCTACATCCTGGAGGCCTTCGGGGGACTCATGGCCTTCATCCGCCTCTGGACCTCCCTCCTCATCATCGAGCCCACTAGCCAGGCCATCATCGCCATCACCTTTGCCAACTACATGGTGCAGCCTCTCTTCCCGACGTGCCTGGCCCCCTACGCTGCTGGCCGCCTGCTGGCCGCTGCCTGCATCTGTGAGTGGGGGTGTGAGTGGAGTGGGGGGGTGTGGGTGGACAGGGGCAGGAGTTGGCTAGAGAGAACAGACCACAGCAGTGGGGAGCAAGGAGAAGGTGGAGTGGAGGCCTCTCACCCTTTCGGGTTGTTCCATTTTTTTTTCTTTTTGTGTCACACCCGGCATTGCACAGGGGTTACTCCTGGCTCATGCACCCAGGAATTACTCCTGGCGGTGCTCAGGGGATCATAGGGGATGCTGGGAATCGAACCCGGGTTGGCTGCGTGCACGGCAAACGCCCTACCTGCCGTGCTATCGCTGCAGCCCCTTGGGTTGTTCCATTAACGTGTGTTGTGTGAGAAAACTCAAGAAGTGCCAAAGAGTTTTGTGGAAAAAAAAAAAAAACAGCAATTCGCCTTCCTGCTGACTTCCATGTCGGCCCCATTGACAACGTGTGAATCCTTCCTGATTTCTTTGCTCGCTTCTTTAAGGATGTAGTTTTGTTCTGCTTTGCAGAACATGAGGTGGTACAATTCTATAGTTTGCTTTTCTTTCTGGGGGTGGAGATGGGGCCACATCCAGCTGTTTTCTCTAGGTTAGGGATCACTCTTGTCTCCTGGCTCTGGGCCCAGGGATCCCTCCTAGCAGTGCTCAGGGATTGAATGCCAGGGATTGAAGCAAGCAAGGCAAATGCCCTCCCCGCTGTGCTATCTCTTCTGCCCAGTTGTACAGCATTAGAGCTAATGCTGCAGTGATTGCATTTTTTTGTTTGTTTTGTTTTGTTTCCCGTGGGCTGGATCAGAGCTTTTCGATTTAAAAATGAAAACTTTCCCTCCTCTCCCTGCCCCTTTGCTGTTGCTCTGCTGACCGGAGGCAGTGCTCCTGGCTGCAGGGCTCATGGGGTTTGCACACACTGACCCAGGTGGCATGGGCTGGATATCAGACACTTTGTCCTCACCCCAGAATCACAAATGGTGGATGGCGCCCATGGCCTTGTGCCTGCAAGGAGGCCACTCCTCATGGACGCCCCCTCCCTGGGCACTATTTCAACCTTTCCCTGTGCTTGGAATCCACAGGGAAGGGGGCAGGGGGTCAGATTTTTACTGTTTATTTATTTAAAAAGTTTTATTTATTTATTTGTTTTGAATCACCATGAGGTACAGAGTTACAAAGCTGTTTATGATTGGGTTTCAGTCATACAGTGTTCCAACACCCATCCTCCACCTGTGTACATTTCCCAGGGGTGTGGATTTTTATTTTATTTTATTTTTAATTAATTAATTAATTAAAAATTGAATTCATGGGGCTGGAGCAATAGCACAGTGGGTAGGGTTTGATTCCCAGCATCCCATATGGTCCCCTGAGCACTGCCAGGAGTGATTCCTGAGTGCAAAGCCAAGAGTGACCCATGTGCATCTCTAGGTGTGACCTGAAAAGCAAAAAAAAAAACAAAAACAAAATACCCATTTTAAATTTAATTAAATAAAATTAATTTAATTAATTCAATTTAATTTAATGGAGTGCCAGCAAGCTACCAAGAGTATCCCACCCACATGGCAGAGCCTGGCAAGCTCCCCGTGACGTATTTGATATGCCAAACACAGTAACAACAAGTCTTACAATGGAGAGACTGGTGCCCGCTCGAGCAAATCAATGAACAATGGAAGGACAGTGCTACAGTGCAGTTTAATAATCATAGGCACACTGTGCCCTTCCCTTCCCTCTGCCCAGGCAGCAAGGATGGCACAGAGGCTGGGGCATATGCCCCCAGCAGCGAGGACACCAGTCCTATGAACGATTTTCAGAAAATAAAAAATACCCCAGAGACAGGTGGTGTTCTTCTCCCCACACTGAGCCTCAACACACTCCAAATTTCAAGACTTTATATATACCATATCTCTGTGCCCCGGGGGAGCCCTAGCCATCCTGCCTCTAAAGCCACTTCATTAGCTCAGACCCATTCCACCCAGGCACCCACTGCTGCCACCCCCAAGGGGGTCGATTTTAAGTTGTCATTTTATGTTATCCGGAAGTTTTCATAATTAATTCCTTTTTTGGCTTGTTTGTTTCTGGGGACAAGCCCAACCCAGAGCCAGGGGTGGAGTTATCTCTCCAGTCCCCTTTTCACCATTTTTCAAATAAAATATGAAATTTGTGTGTGAGACCAGGCCCCCTGGAGGTAAGGTACCCAGAAGGTGGTCTCCTTTGGGTGCCTCTCTTCCCACTTTGGGGATCCCAGGAACTTGGGGCATCCTCCCAGCCTGCTCCAAGGGGAAGTGCAGACATTCTGCCTAATTTATGGGCCCACTGTTTTATTTATTTATTTTTATTTATTTATTTTTTAATTTTTTAAGATCTTATAAAGTTTATTTTATTTTATTTATTTTTTTAATTAGTAAGACACCATGAGGTACAGTTGTAGACTTACAAACTTTCATGCTTGGGAGGGGGCCACTGTTTTAGAAGCAGTTGCAGCAGTGGTCCAGGAAGTCTGTGCCAGAGACAACTGACCACAGCACCCCTCTCCAGTCAGCCTTTCCCCCCACCACTTATTTTTTGGGGTCGGGAGTGTTGGGAATCAAACCCAGAGCCTCCCACATGCAAGGCATGAGCTCTACTGCAAAGCTGCACCCGCGGCTTTTAGCATTTTCCCTTTCTATCTCTTCGCTCTCTCACTGTCTGCGAGGTCCTCCTTGGCCTGTGTGTCCTGGTGTAGCTCACTCCCTCGCATCGCCATGTGTTTGGGGATGTTTGCTGTGCGCAGCAACAGCCAGGGTGGGGTAAAAGGCGCTGTCCTGTGTTGCAAGAAGCTGGTATTTGCCCCCGAGGCCTTAAATATGCTCTCTTTTTATCTTGCATCATTTATAGATTATCTGGTAGGTGGACTCTTGGGGGAAGTAGTATTTGTATAGGGTCAGCAAAACTTTCAGGATGCTTGAGTTCCTTGAAGCATCAGAATGGCATTGTTTTACTTATCTTACTTATTTGGTCCTATCCCATGGTACTGATGGCTTACTCCTGACTCCGTGCTCAGGAATCACTCCTGGTGGTGTCTAGGGGACCGTTTGTGGTTTTGGGATTCAAACTGGAGCCAGCCACATGCAAGGCAAGAAGTTTACCTGCTGTACCATCTCTCCAGCCCCATTATTTATGATTTTGATCTGTGGCATCTTTGATAACTGTCAGTCCTGGAATCTGGCCTCGTGTCACCAGGCACCCCCTTTTTACTTTGCTGCTTCTCACGTGGGAGTAAAAATGAGCACAATCTCTTGTGTACTCACACCCACAGGCACCTGCTCATCTTGGGACATGCAGGCCAGATAGACAGTTGTGAAGAGTCTGTGGAATAGAAGACATGGAGTTTCGTGTATGGGCTGACGGCATGTTTCTGAGACTCCTGGTGGAGACGAGAGAACACCAGTGGCTGGGCTCAGCAGCTGTGTGACCTTAGTGGTGATAATGGTTTCTTCCAGGCTACTGTGAGAATGAATGGAGATTACAGGAAATTGCCAATCACAACTCATTATGTACGAAATTACTTTCCCCTTCTCTTGGCAATTGATAGGTCTTTCCCTCTTCCTGCTTCTTAATTTTTTCTGCAGCGACTGTGGTTTCATAAGCGAGGTCTTGCTGTATATATACCTGGACTTTGTTCTATCCTTAATAATTTCAGAGGGTCACAGAGATCTGGAAGAAGGTCCAGAAGGGCAATCAAGATTGTAAGAATTAAAGGGCCTATGATTCATGAGTTCTGTCCTTCAGCTGTTGTTTGACAAGCACCCTCTACAGTCAGAGGCTGACCCTTGTGAGGACATGCTGTTTTGTCTCAGGACTTGGCTGAATCTTTTGATTGAGCAAGAGAAGGGCCTTAATATAGAGCTTTCATTTGTTCACAAAACACACAGGGCATATGATGGGTTAGAGAGCCTATCTAGTGCTGGGAGACAAAGAAAACCAAATTCAACACTTGTCATCTCAGCCTGTGGTCAGGAGGGAGACAAAACATTGGCTGGGAATCTCTGGACAGGGAGAGAGGCCCCCAGGGACCCAAGTGAACACTTTTCTTCTGAGAAAACTTAGGAAGATGCCTGAACTGAGCTTTGGAAAGGTACCAGAGCTGTCTCGTAGGACATTCTCTTGAGGAAACTGCAGGTGAAAAGATGCAGAGGGGCAAACCAGTAGAGAGAGTTTAAAGAATTCCAGGGGGTTAGTATGGCTGGAATGTGGGGTGGGAGAAGGGTGATAAGGTCGACATTAAAAGTGTAGCCCTGGGCCAGACCAGGCTTTTATGACGTGTATCAACAAGTAGACTTTATTGTTATTATTTAAAACAAAACAAAATATGTGCGTTTCTCCCTTCTCTCCCTTGATGTTGAATTAACTGTGGGTTATCCACAAGCTTGCACACACAGGCTTGCACACTCTGACTTGTGGTGGTGCTCCCTGGGGTTGTGCATCAGGTTGTGGTGTTTGCACATGAGCTCACTAGGGGTCTCCCTCACTCAGTTATTACTCATTCTGTCTTGCTGGGCAGCTCACTCCTAGCCTCCTAGTGATGCTTCCTCTGGGAGTTGCACCCCTTGAGTTGCGGAGATTGAATGCCTCATCTGGCTGGAATGTGGCTGCAAATCTGGAGACCACAGGCTGCAGTGCGACCCGATGCACACAGCAGAGCTGCTGGACTCATCTGGGAATGGGGCTCACTGCCTTTCACTTGTGGGGCAGGTGCATTAGTCATGGAGCCATTTGCTGGACCCTAAACTTAATCTTTTTTTTTTTTTGTGGGAGATGGGGAGAGCGAGGCCAACTGGTATGCTCAGAAACTATTAGTAGAGATACTAGGGGATCAAATGTGGTGCAGGGGGGTTGAACCAGGGTGGGCAGGATGTAAGGCAAGAGCCCTACCCCCTGTACTATCTCTCCAGCCTCCTAGGCTTTATCATGAAAGTAGGGGAACACTGTTAAATTTTTTGGGGGGCACACCTGGCAATACTCAGGGGTTACTTCTGGCTCTGCACTTAT